TCCTGCTTTATCATAGTATGAACATCAAGATCTTAATTAGGGGTGCACCGATAGAGATTTTGGGGGCCCCCTGCCCTCCTGGGGTGTGTGCAGCAGTGGGAACCACCCCCCTGGATGAGCTGTGGCTCCATCCTTCAGCCCACCCCGGCTAGCGAGTGCCTGGGCTGATTTCCAATACAATCAATTTTCTTTATATCGGTGCCAATCCAATATCAGACCGATGTTTCGGTTCACCTGTAATATTAATGGATCTATTATTGTTTTTGGTCATGGGTTTGTAATGGGTACCACGGGGTATGTATGCAGAGCACAATTCAGTGCCATGAAAGGGTCGTTGACTGGAGGCAAAGTAGTTTTGGGGGTTGGTACCCTACAGCCTACAAGCTAAATCCAGCCTGCCAAGCAATATTATCTAGCCCACAAAGCTTTGATGATGGCAGTGGGAGAGAAACAGCAAGTCACCTTCAGACTAAGCCCAGTTAATTTTACCCATTACTCCTAAGAGATTGCTGGCCTCTGGTGTAGAACCATAAGCATAGTGCACCACCAGGTCGGATGCACCTGTGGAGTGATATTTGCTGGGTAGAGTACTGGGTTAATGTGACTAATGCTTCTTCTAGTTCCCCCGCTGTCTCACTTAGAGCTGACACAAGTATTTCTGCAGATGAGTGTGGTGTCATGTAGATCAGCGTTTCTCAACCCATGAAGAATATATGAAAGGCTCACAAACTTTAAAAATGAATTATATGTTGCATACATTTTTTAAAAAATAAGTGCTACTTGGGCTTTATTGTATGTTAATGCTGTGCATACTAATAAACAGAGTTCCAGCCTGCAAGGGGCTATTTGTGGCTGTGGGGAGTGGGAGGAGGGCAATCAGGCAAGGGGAGCCATGTGCATGTGTGTGTGCACACTTGCCCGTGGCAGCCAGGTACCATGGAGAGCAGCTCCCCGCAGGTAAGTCTATGGGAAAGTGGGGAGCATAGATGAGGCATTGGGCGGGGTTGGGGCACACAGACAATGTGTGAGGGCGGCATGGGGGGGATCATGTCCCATTCCCGCCCCCCCCCCCCCCCCCTCCCAGATTTGTGT